CACTTGGCAACTGGCATGTACTTATGACGGTTGCAATGTTCCGGGGTCATGTGATCTCCATCTGTAACCTTCCCAGTGGTCTCCGACAAGCAAAGTCAATGGGGGAAGCCAGATTCCTTTAACAACTGCACAATTCACTTAGCAACTTGGTGATTTGCTTAATAACTGTGGCAAAATGTAAAATGGAGCAAAACTCACTTCACAACTGCTGCGCCTAGCAATGAAAATATGGAGCTCAATTGAGGTTGCAAGACCTTTTCTTTGTGTGTAGAAGAAATAGTTTTGACTATATAAAAGTTGTATTTATATGATGCACTGAGTGATGTAGGACCATGGCTTAAAGACAGTAACTGTGAGAGGGACCTTGGAGTCCTGGTGGACGATCACTTGACCATGAGCCAGCCGTGTGCAGCAGCAGCCAAAAAAAGCTAATACAATCCTGGGTTGTATAAACAGAGGCATAGAATCAAGATCACGCGAAGTATTAGTACCGCTTTATAAAACCCTAGTGTGGCCACACCTGGAATACTGCAGTCAATTTTGGTCACCACATCACAAAAAAGATGTTGAGAGTCTGGAAAAAATTCAGAGAAGAGCAACTAAGATGATCAAAGGCCCGGAGATTAAAACATATGAAGAACGGTTACGGGACTTGGGTTTGGCTAGTCTAAAGAAAAGAAGGAACAGGGGAGACATGATAGAAGTGATCCAGTATTTGAGGGGCTGCCCCAAAGAAGGGGGGGGATCACGTTATTCACCAGAGCACCAGAGGGAAGGACAAGAAACAATGGTTGGAAACTGACCAAAGAGAGAAGCAACCTGGAATTAAGGAGAAACTTCCTGACAGTGAGGACAATTAACCAGTGGAACAGCTGGCCTCCAGAAATCGTGGGCGCCTCATCACTGGAGATTTTTAAGAAGAGGCTAGACAATCACCTGTCTGAGATGGTATAGGTTCTTCTGCTTGAGCAGGGGCTGGACTAGAAGACCTCCAAGGTCCCTTCTAGCTTCTCTTTTCTCTTCTCTTCTCTTCTACTTTCCATTCCATTCTCTTCTCTCTCTTCTCTTCTCTTCTCTATTCTATATTCTATTCTATTCTATTCCTATTTCTATTCTATTCTAAATTGTAGTTTTACTATTTTATGCATAAAATTGTATAAACTGAGCAAAGCACAAGAACGTGTGATAGGAACCCACAAACTAAGGATCCCACAAAGGACCGTAACTTTTAAAAATATCAGCATCCCTACAGAATCACAGAGATGAGACTTAGGGTGATGGTTAAAAAAATAAATATTCGGGTAGGGTATAAACATGCTTTGGCCTGAAAATGTTAAATGCCCCACGTGGTAGACAAAGCTTCCCTTTATCCTGCTGTCAAGAACAAATCAGACACAGTCACTTTATATGGCAATTTCCTTTTTTCTTTAATTAGCAGATTAATTTTGAAGTTTCCGTCTTTTATTTTCCTTCCACCAATGTCTGTTATGTACAAAAAATGTTTCTTTTTATTTCTGAATCCTATAGAAACAAGTGCAAACTATTTTTTTTTTTAAAAAAAAATATCAAAACCCTAACAATCCAGCGGGTTAAAGGAACAGAAACGCGAATAGGTATAAAATCTATAGCAAAAATCAATGCCCCTCATAGTAGCTGGAACAACTTTTTTTTTAAAAAAAAGGTCCTTAATAAACTGCCTTGCTGAATTTAAGACTAAAAAAATATTGCTCCCAGCCCAGGATCCAGTTTCCAACGGCGGACAGCGAGAAGGTGCTCACCACGGCCATTCGTGGGGCATTCGTGGTTGGCCACGTCCCCCGTCTTTCCATGCCGTGGTCGGTACGACACGCTATCGCTGAGGCATGCAGATTCCGCGCGGCCAGGACCGCGTGTAGCCCGCCTTGCAGGAACAGAAGAAGGAACCGCTGGTGTTCACGCAGCGTTCGCTTTTGCAAAGACGTCCCCGTTGGTTTAGCTCCTGGCACTCGTCAATATCTGGAAGGAAGGAAGAGATTACGGAGTGGACAAGGTAGACTGCGCTGGATCCAGAGGCTCCACGTAATTCTGAGAGTGTGAAATTAGCCACTCGCTGCCACGTCCTCGCAAGGGGTGACCTGGCCAAGAATATGGAAGCCCTCCATCCGCCCCTCTTACCCAGGCAGCGGGTGCGAGTGCTGTCCAGCTGGAAGCCTGTGGGACATTCGCACACAGAACCCTGCTGGGTGCGGACGCAGCGCCCGTGCAGGCAGCGGCATTCGTCCGAATCCTCTTCCGAGCTGTCGGCATCTGTAGCCAAAACAAACAGATGTGATAAAAAGGCCCAAACATCTGGAAAGGGACCCCCCCCCCGGGTAATTTCCTGCTTCGTCTGCTCCCTGCACACACCCAGCCGAATCCTGCCATCCAGAGCAGAACAAGCACACTTCCGGCCGTCCAGTTCAGCCAGCAAA